TCCTTCAACTAGAAGCATCTGCCGAAAAAACCGATGCCGGTAGCAACAAAAACTGCGTGGAACTCTGCAAAAAACGCACCTTCGCACGGGCAGCCCGTGCGTTGGCCAGTTATTCGCATTGCATTGCTGCAAAAAACACATAAAAACTCGGCTCGGTTGGTGATCTATGGTGCTTGGACCTTCCAGCGCATTATTCTAACATCTCTGCTAACACTATTTCGCGGCGACGCTCGCTGAAACTTTGCCAGACGCGCTGGGTAGCGCTGCCCAGTGTCTGGTGGCCGGGTCACGTGGCCGGAGGGTGATGGGTGGGAGGATTGAACATGGCTGGGGGAGGGAGGCGGTGTTGGTTGGTGGTTGCCTAGATACAGCTCAGAGGGCGTGAGTGAAGCCAGGACTACAAAGAAAAGTAAATTAAAACAAATCTGAATTTGTGAATAAAAGGAAAAAAAAGCAAAATCAAAGAATTGGAGCCTGTAGCCAAAAGCAAAAAAAAACAAAAGTAAACAAAAACTGAGCTTATGCAAGTAGGATTTGTCTTACAAAAACCCGTCTTCAGTAAGCGGCCCCCACATTTATGAGATTTATGCTTAGGTGAAACTGATGGCAAATAAGCTGGACTGAATTTACTGAAGCTTATGCCTAGGTGAAGCTGAGGCAAATAAGTTCGACAGGATTTACTGAAGCTTATGTTTAGGTGCAGCTGAGGCAAATAAGTTCGGCAGGATTTACTGAAACTTATGCTTAAAGTCCAATTGTTTTTATGGAGCAGCTTTGCCTAAGCATCAATTTCATAAATAGGGAAGCCTAATGACGGGCTTTTGTGGGACAGCTTTGCATAAGCATCAGTTTCATAAATAGAGAAGCCTAATGACGGGTTTTTGTGGGACAGCTTTACCTAAGCATCAGTTTCGTGAAAAGAGAAGTCCCAGGAGCACAATTCCTCATCCTTTCCGTTCTTCACCGCTCTCCTTTCCTCTCCAAACGTACTTTACTTAGTCAACCAGCAAAGGATCTATGCCATTTAGTCCTTATATTCACCTATCCTCGCCCCCCCTCCCTGCCTCGAACGAAACCCGTCACATTTCACCCCACTTTCACCTGCCACATTCAAACCGCCACTATCCGTCATGTGGCA